CAACTCGGGTTGATCTGTGGGATTACATATATATATTCTGAAAAACAAATAGTACGATATATTTTTTAAAATCCCATTATATGATGATTAAATAAATTTGCAAAAAAAAGAAAGATCGTTTCCTTATTTAAACAAACACAAAGAAGGAATATAGTTAAATAATGCCATGAACTGAATAATAAATATGGAAGCGAATTAATTACAGTAACTATTATATAAACACCTGCATGCAATCCGTTGCCAACACAAACTATCCAAGGTTTTTACCTTTCAACTTTTTTTTCTTCATCTTCTCTTGAAGGAGTTCAGATAATTGAATAAGGTGAGTTATAATCTCTATATAATCTTTGTTACTTATATTTGGTTTTCTTTGGATTATTCTCTTCCGATTCCTTTGGTCATTTATTGAATGTAAATTGCGATTCCGTTCAATTCTTGTGTTATAATCTGAATTTCTTTTGTTCATGAGTTCGAATTTGGTGCTGTGTATAGAAAAAAAAATCACAATTTTCCGCCCGAGGAACGAATTTCTTTTGTTCATGCGTTCGAATTTGTACTGTCTCACGTATTCTATAATATGTGTCTCGATCTCTATGTGTTTCTACTTTGATTTTTTTTTAATTATTTACTTAATTATGTTTTTTTTGTTATTGGTGGATTAATGCTATATTGTATAATTCTACGTGTGACGAATATATTTTTTGTAGAAAAATAACATTATGGAGATTATATTTTTTGTAGAAAAATAAGAGCTCCCCCGAATACATATACTCGGTAACAGAAGAATATCTCAAATAAATCGAACAAGCATTGGAACAGAAGAATATCTCAAATAAATCGAACAAGCATTGGACTACGCGTGGGATAATTTCGAAACCTATATTGACCCTCTTGACGCTGAAGCCGTACTAGCCGACCCGGTACTGAGCAACCCACCACCGGAGATGGTGTTGCCACCACCGCCAATCCATTTTATATTTATTTTTTAAAAGATACCATGTTTTTACTCTTAATAATATTGAAACTAGGAGGGTCTTTGATTAAACTTATAAGTTATAAACAAAGTTTATAAGATATTTAAGAGCTTATAAGCTCTCTCAAAGTTTTTGATAATTTTTTTAAAAATATCTTAAAAAATCATAAAGTAAGCTGCTCGAGAGCAAATAAGATTATTTTGAAAAATACGTATGCCACATCTTTTTATTTAAGATCTAATAATGAGTATAAACATATTATAAACCCATTATCCAAACACTTCAAAAATTAATTTAAAAAATAGGATAAATTACAACCACCTCCCGAGGTATGGTCATATTACGAAAAAACCCTTCCTATTTGGATAATACAACTACCCCTCAGCCATGAATTTTCTTACACGTTCACCCTTATGGTGCCAAATTTAACATAATCTTATAGGTTTCGTGCAATGTTCTCTAGTTTGTACTCGTTTTATGCAAAAATACAATTTCTGATGCATCACAATTTGATATTTACAAGCCAAAAACACATCTTATGATCTCCTTGCTTCAAAATGTGGAATTCGAATGGGATAAAACGGGAACAAAATTTAGAATATTCCATATAATCTAAAAGATTCCACTAAATTTGACACCGCAAGGGTAGACGTGTAAGAATATTTATAGTTGAGAGAGGTGATTGTATAATTACCCAAACATGGAGGGTGTTTTTTCGTAATTTGACCATACCTCAAGGGGGTGGTTGTAATTTACCATTAAAATAAGATGTATCAGCTCTTAAAACAGTTTATCAAACGTACAAACTTATTAGGTGTTTAAAATAATTTTAGCCAAACGTGCCCTAAATGATACATAAATTATTTAACGCAATATGAGATTTCAGTGTTGTGGTGAAAAAACATCCCTAAATTTATCTCAAAAGAGATATTTTCGTAAGATAATACATAGTAGAGAGGGGGTGACTGTAATTACCCAAGCAAGAGGAATGTTTTTGTAATTTGAACGTAACTCAGGGGTGGCCGTAATTTGCCTTACATAAATTATGAAACACAACATGAGATTTCAGTGGTGTGGTAAAAATTTCAACATATTTTCAAAATATTTCAAAAAAGTTTCTCGATATTTATAATTTTAATTCATAAAAATAAGACCTTAGAGGTATTTTAATTTTTTTTCTCTTGATAAAATGGTACATGAAGCACAATGTTTTTAAAATCGGATAGGAGTATCGGACATCAACTCGGTCATGGTTGGACCGGTTCAATCGGATTTATTTATTTACTTTTATTATTATTTTTTAATAATTAAAATAAATTTTATTACTATAAAAATATTATTAAAATGATATTTTTTTATATTTCACTACAACTCTCTGTATTTCCACCGGGAATAAACCTCCGGTTTACTTGACCGGTTTTTTTCACTATTGCTTGGGCCCGGAAGCCCAAACTTTAACCCTAATAAACCTCCGGTTTACTTGACCGGTTTTTTTCACTATAGCTTGGGCCCGGAAGCCCAAACTTTAACCCTAATAAACCTCTGATCTTCCTAATCCGAATTTATTACTCCTGATCAACCTCTGACCTTCCCAATCCAAATTTATTACTGCTAATCAACCGCCGTAAACATGGTTAATCTAAACCTTAACCCTTCAAATTCTTCCTTTTCTGACAAGACCTTTCAACTTGACCTTTTGAAAGTATATATATATATATATATATATATATATATATATATATATATATAT